AGCAAAACTTTGTCCCACATTTAATCCTATAAAAATTTCATAGATGTATGTTTTGAATTTGGGCTCTTGACCTATTTTCACATAACCTTTATGTCCTTTTAAATAGGAGACAAATTCTTATATTTTGAGAAGGGTTCTCTACATTCCATCCCCATATACTACATGTGTTCAGAAACACTTCTCAAAAACTCTCCCTTTCCTCCACTGAACTTCCTTTGTACCATTCTTTAACATCAATTGTCCTTCTGAGTTTGACTCTAAAAGTATCTATTCTCATCCACTGATCTATTATGAATGATTCTCAATTACAATAAATTCTCCCCCTGACTGCAGTTCAATTACTCATGGACATTGGCTTTCAGCATATGGCACAAAAATTTACCACACATGAGTACAAATATCTAAAAGGTATTCTATAAAACCATGTAGCACAGATCAAACTGGGATTATTTCCAAAAGACATTTTAAATGTTAACATATAAAACTTGCTTATCATACAGCCTAATAATCTCAAAATTCATATTAATATATCCTTAAAAAAATCTCTCTGGCATAGAGGGCATGCACAGGGTTGATCAGAACTGACACACACAAATGCATTAGAAATCCCCAACAACAGAGTACATGAAACAAAACAAAAAATATCAGACCTTGAAGCAGAGCTCTTAAGATGAAAAAGAGAAACAAAATAGAAAACATGAAGGAAGTATTTGAGCCTCTTAGAATACCATTAAATGCACAGATGTCCACACTTCAGGGCACCTGAATATGAGGAGAGTCAAGTTGAGGACATAGAAAGCCCGTTCATTGAAGTCATAGAAAAAAACTCTCCGAATCATAGGAAGATGTGGGCATCCATGTAAAGGAAGCTTATGGGACCCCAAATAGGCATTGCCTGAAGAGATATTCACCATGGTATATGATCCTCAAATTGTCAAAAGTACAAGCCAGAGAAAGAAATCCAAAATCTACAGGTCAAAGGCATTGAGTGGAATTCAAGCCCTTGTCCTAGAGCAGTGGAGCAGTGGCCTGGGTGGTCTTGCAAGTTCCTGAGATGTTCCCAAGCCATATCTCCTAGTGTCTCAGAGTAAACTGTTTAGAATCTCTGTAGTGAGTGTAATTCTTTAACAACCACATCTTCCTGAGACCCAGTTTTACTCTGACTTTTCTTTCCAAACTTCATTCACCCTCTCATTTCTACTCCTCATTATCAGAGTAAATCTGGAGAAAAGCTGCTAGCAATATCCACACCACAGACTGAATGCTGGGCTGCCTTGAAATTTCCTCCAGCAGAGTAATGAGTGCATCACCTCTAAATTCAGCGACACAAACAGTGACAGAACATGTGCAAAATGTATATAATCTCTATGCCAGAATGTAGCATGAATGGCCTCTGTTTGCATTTGCAATGGTGTCCTCCTCTGCTGCAATCTCAGGAGCACAGCCTTTCCCATGGACAATACTATCACCATTCTGGTCTTCTGAGCCTCCACCAGAGTCACACAATAAATTCCACTTGCAATATTCAATTTTTTTTCCACCTTGCATCTCTAAAAGTTTCAAAATTCTTACCTCAAATAACAACAGTTGCCAGAAATTCATGAACAATATGGTCTGACTCATCACAACAAGGAATTCATCTCTTTGTACCAATTTCTGTTCTAGTCAGCTATTTTTTTTTCCATTTTTTTAAATCATCAAATGACCTGACAAGAACCATTAGAGGAGGAGATGTTTATTTGGCTCACAGAGTCAGAGGTCAGTTCACAGACAGCTGACTCCATAACTCTGGAACAAAGAAGGGGCATAACATCATAACAGAAGTGTGTGGTGGAAGTACCCAGTTCAGAACATGGCCACCAGGAAGCTGAGAGAGCGCAAGCTCACCAATCAGAAGATATAAGCAACGAAAGTCATTCTTCCAGTTACCTACTTCTTATAACCACCTGCTACCTGCCTACAGTTACCCCCAGATAATCCATATCTGTGGATTAAAGAACAGATTAAGTTAAGGCTCTCATACCCCAATCTATTTACATAAAACTTTCTCATATTGTCTCACACAGGAGCTTCTAGGGGACACCTCATTCCAAAATTATAACACCTGATATTGGACTTATTCAAATGTGGATTGTCCTATGATGAGAAGATTCCAGCCTGAGAGCAATGAGCATGGTTCTTGGAGTAGAACTGTAGGAGGACAACCTAATGGAATGTGATTTGATAAACAGTTTCATTTTGCAACTGATGATTTGGTGTTTGATATTTGCTGGATTCCATGGTCCTTCCATATCCAAATACAAAAAGAGTTCAGCCTCCATGTGTTTAATAAAGAAGAAAAACTGGACAAGACACAATTCTGTCTTTGACACTCACATTGGTTACTTCCACTGTGGACCAGTAAAAGGATATGGCCCCCTCTCCTAGGGGCCATACAGGGCATGGTAGTCTTGTGTCCCTAATGCCTGCTTCATCACTGCCACCACTGCCAGATTGTGACCTCTGTTGGACCCTGTGCTGCAGAGACAAAAATGCTACTTCTTCAGAGGACAAAAGCAAGGAGGCAGGCTAAGGATGAGAGGTAGGGTCACAGTGCCTGAAATACAGGGAAGAAGCCCCTGTCCCTCAGGAAAGATGGGAAAGAAACAGATGGGTATCTGTTTTGGTCACTGCAACAACATGTTCCCAACTGTTCAACAGTCAGATACAGTGGTCCACATGCTCAACTGATAGTCAACAATCACCCTATTGCACAGCCAAGTAGTCAAACCAGCTATTGTCACCCCTGTGGATCCCTGGTATGGATGGGTTGTGGCAATTGCTGCCACTTGTGCATCCCTGATGAGACCCTTGCTCAAAAGAGACTGTTGGATCTAGGATGTTTATGGAAACCATGTCCCACCACACTGCCAACCGCTGCTTCTACTAGACCATGATTCAGTCCCTGCAGGTGTCTTGGTTTCCCAGAGGGCTCTGCTTGACCACTGCAACAGTCATGGGCTCTGAGGAGGTTTGCTAGGCCCCAAGTACTCCACCTGTGGCTACCTAGAGTGGAAGTATTTCTGATGTCTCCACTTTTTTTTTCAGGAATACCTGTCCCATACCCAATAGCAAAGATGGGGAACCCAATAATCCTATGCAGACTGCCATGAGAGTGCAAATGTGGTTTAGCAGGCAGGTGATGGCTACATTCAGGCAGCCGCTCTTTTGTCTATATATGAACAATTACTTTCATTCTTATTGGGCCAGTCTGATGCCTCCATCTGTTGTACTGCTCACTTTTGCTGCAGCAGAGGCCCCAATAAAGTCTCTAACAAATGTTTTCATTATCTACTCATTTATGTCTGTCTTGGATAGAGAGGGCTGAGCTAATTGCAAAATGAACTGGTAACAACAAGGGATGCTGGCCCAGAGAACATCTCATTGTCAACCCCATACCCTCTATCTGAGATCCTGCCCCCAGCAGAATGCCCTTGAAGGCTCACATAACTCCAGTGGATGTTTCCAGCTCGTGCAGAAGAAGAGAAAAGACACTTTCCACTGTAGCTGATCCTCATATCCTCAAAGAGAGTGGGCAAGTAGGGACAATAGATGTCCATTCCCATTTCAGATCTTTCTGAAGACACCATATGACAAATTGGGAGACACCCTTCACCCCCATAGCAGACAGGGACCTCTAGGAATGGAGCACCTAAACCTAACAGTCTAGTTCCTGAAATCACAAGATTCCTCTACTGTCACATAGGAGATGGAACATTCTAATGCTGCCACCATATCCAAACTGGGATTTCAAGTCACTGATCAAGACTTAGACATGCAAAGGGAAGCAGTCCTCCAGCACACCAAAGGTACATTGAGTGATACTCAGGTCTCCTTTCTCCTTCTCTCAGAGGATCTCACCATGGATCCTGCATCCCCTGCTTTTCCACAGCTGTACAGCACTGAATCTGCCATCTATTCCAGCCCCTCACCCAACACATCTGCAGGATTTATTTCTCCCAGAGTTACCCCTATGGACACTACACCCCCTTCACTGCCTCTCCTTTAGGGTCTTCCCCTGGATCCATTGGAAGCATTCTCCCACCCTTGGCCCAGGATGTCAAGTCCCCACTGGATTCAGCATAGGGTCAGCAATGATATCTCGCCGGGTCTGTAACATCTTGTGTGCCCTGGAGACACTGCTCAGTCCATGTTTGAAGCTCTTGGCAGGAAGCAGCACAAAGATTCCCCATTTTACAACATTTTCCTCCTTTTGGACCTGGCAGCTCTGGCTCTAGCCATGATCTCAAATTCTGCTCCAGGTCAGCCAGCCAGGCACAGGAAGTCACACTCAGCCTGGGGACTAATTACACACAAATTACACCTTGGGTACCCATGGCAATACCCAGCTTCCCTCTGCTGCCACGCCACCTGTATTCCCTCTGTTACCCCTACCACCTCTGGCGATTCAGCCCACATACTTTACAGCCCAAGTTCTAACCACATTAGCCTAGACTTCCCGAAGTTCCACACTACCTCCTTGTTTCCTGGTTCTTCAGGACCCATGGGCTTCTTGTGGAGAGAGGCAGAGCCTGATCTGACTCCAGCTTTGGATCCCTGAGCATCACAGCAAACAGAAGAGAGCCCCATAAACTACACCTTGCTCTAAGGGATTTGTGGCCCTGAACTCTTGGGAGCCCCATCACCAGAGTACCTCCATCGTGCCCAGGGGAACTAACCCTGTGAATAACCTTGTTTCAAGCCATGGTCCATCTTACTTTTACCCCATGCCTGGGCCGAAAACACCCAGAAACCCCTAACTTCAGGTTGAACACCCAGTCCTACTGCAGCAAGGTTGACTCCAGGGCACATCATCTGAATAAATAGCTTATTAGTAAAAAGATTCCTTGGGATGAGCCAACTGGCCTATTTCATATTCACATCACAGGAATATTATGTATATACTGTGTTGCACCTGGAATACAAGGCAAGAATGAGAAACATATAGCAGGTCCCCCTTCCCCACAGCTTTGCTTTCCAAGGCTTCAGTTACCTGTGATCAGCAGAGCTACAAAAATATTGCTTGTCTTATTCTCAGATAGAAAGTCTACATTCAGATTAATTTTATTATAGTGTATTGTTATTATTGTGTGATTTCACTATAAGTTATTGCTGCTAATCTTTTCCAGTGCCTGCTTTAGAAATTGAGCTTTTTCATGTGTAGACTTGTCAACATCCAGGTCACAGTCACTATGAAAAGGAAATAGAGCTCAGCACACAGGGGAGATAGAGCCCTATTCTAAACTTTCACTGCAAAGTCCCAAATCAGATGATATATTCAAGAAACAAATTCCAGGCCACACTGGTGAGTCTGTAGGTACTGAAAGAGTTTCATGTTAGACTCTTGGATGTCTCATCCACAAATAAGTTCTGGTTCAGTGGCTCTGTGTTTGCTTCTCAAGTGTGGTCCACAGCCTGCAATATCCTGGATGAACTCAACCACTTTAGACTCTTCTCCCTACCAACCACTCCAGGCAATCTCAGCACTCCAAGTGTGGAGAATCCCCTGTGTAAGCCAATACAAAGACATCAGCATTTATGGTCAAGATCACAAAGTGATATTACGTGTTATCAGGACTGAGATCCATCAATGCCACCCCAACATCAAAATTTCAGGAGCCAGACTACATCTAGTTTCCATATGGAATACACAGCCAAATGCACAGGTGATTTTCTTGGTCTTGTGGGGACGAGGTGGCAAGGTATACAAATGCATCACCTTGGAAATTCTGCATTGTTGGGTACACTTGTAGAACAACTTGCACTTGTTGGAAGTTGGGCTTCCCTTTCCTCCATCTTGGAAACCAGCTTTTCTAACTGCAGACTGGCAAAGACATCCTTATTCCTAGAGATTACAGGGCACAGGAGGCACCAGAATACCTCCCCACCAAAATCCTTCTGCAGAGAATCCAACAGATAGAGGCAGTAGATGCATCCACACTTCAGGTACATGGGATTTTTAAGATATTCAAGGCAGACAGGACATCTGCATGCTTCTTGGAAGAGTTTACCCAGTACTTGTTTGGGGTCAAATGCACATGGAAAGGCGTTCCCATAAGCTCATTGATCATTAGTTTAAAAAAATCCAGGCCTTTTTGTGTACAGAGCTATTGTGTTGCAATGTTGTTTTTACCAGGAAAACACCATCAGAGCATCTTCCTGTTTTCAGAGATTTAATGTTGTATTTGGAAAAAAGTCACAGATGGTCACTGTGCTTTGAGCTGAAGTGGAGAAAGTCTCCAGTCTGCTCCTGGGGACTCTCAATCTGTGCTAATACATGTGCACAGATATGACCTGGTGACATCCATGTCAGGAGCAATGAAGGTATTGTAATCTCACCATGCACATGGGACCCCTATCAACAATTATAGATACAAATAGGAGATCGGGATCTCTGTAGCTCCTGAAATGCATGCCACACTCTCTGTGTGTGATTCAGGATGACATTAGTGACCATCCTGACAGTATTTGTTATATTAGAAACTTACCAACTTCCTATGAAGTACATACACAGCCCTTTTCTTATTTGAGACAATATCTTGCTGATTACTGAATTTCCAAGCCTGACTTCAAACTCGCAAAATCCTCCTCCTTGTTTCCCTAGTAGCTGGGATTAAATGCACGTAACAACATGCCCAAAATTATTTTTTACTTTTTCAAAACTGAGGATTGAACATAGGGACATTTACCAGGATTCTTTATCCCTGGCCCTTTTTATTATTTATTTTGAGACACATTCTTGCTAAATTGCCTTCAGTTGGCCTCAGACTTATTCCCCTCCTCCCTCAGCCTCACAGATAGCTTGATAATAGCTATGCACCCCACCCTGCCTGGCTCATGTAACTTATAACTAACAAAAACTTCTAAAGGCACAATTTTGGACTTGGCATGTGTATTGGCTCCTTGGCTGAGGGCCTTCTCTGGGAGGCACTTTCCAGGGTCTGCTTACTGCATGGCAATCTAGTGCCCCACTGTGACCTGCATCATTCCTGCCACTGCCCAGTAACAATACAGCCACCCCTGCCTTGCAGCCACCAACACCAACACCACCTGTGTGGTCTCCCCTATGAACCACTGCATGAGTATGTCACAGTTTTCAGGGGGCAAACCTATTCCTCAGTTCCTCACATGTTTATGGGTACCTCAAAGTCAGTGGACATTATTGCCAGGCAAATAATGACATCTCTGCAAGTAAATGAACTGTAGAAATTCATCTCTACTCTAACAGGATACCCATAAAAGTATTTCACCTGGGTGTGGAAGGGTCACACCGAGCATGTCACAGGAGTTCTAGCTGGATAGGGTGAACCTCAGTGCCTGCCCCTCCTTACTATTGCCTCAGTATCCCTGGACTGCAGAATTGCTGCTTCTTGAGAGGAGCTTCCTTTCATGTACCCTCATGCCCACCTTCATAATTAATCACTGAGGATCTCAAGTGGATATTATTTCTTCATTCAGTTATTACACTTTCATTCATAGACCCTTTGAGTGCTTTTTACCTTATTTACAATGGATCTAAAAAACTGCCTTGTTCCTGTGAGTGTCATATGAAAGAAGGAACATGCCTTACTACTCACAATCCAGCCAATGTGAGCTTGACCCAATTTACAGAGGAAGTTAAGGAGTGTGGTGTTACCCTAAGAGTAAGCACATGTGAAGCCATTGAGGACACTCCACTTGTGGAGAAAGGAGGCACCCATGTGCTTGATTGCTCTGTGGAGGATGTTGCACCACCCTCCAGCCAGATCATTGTTGACCCATTAAGTATGAACAATTAACTTCCATGAACCACATGGCTGTTTCATTACTGCCTGTTGCATTTGAACCTTGGGAGAGCTCCAGTGCTGTGTGCCTTAGCATTAATTGATAGTGGAGCGAAGTATGAAGATGCAGCACCGTCCCTAAGACAAAGGCAGTGTGGGACTCTGAACAGCAAGCAACTCTCATATTTGGAGAAGCATGAACTAAAAATGCAGCCGTGCTTCAAAGGTTCCAGTGAGCATAGGAATGACTGCTGCATTCAGTAAGTCATGGTGCTTTGGGAGTGTAACTTGGGATGGGACCTAATAGTTTTTAAATATTATCCAAAGAGTTGCTGTCCTGGATGTATCTGACGGAACTTCCAAAGGAGTATTGGAAAGCAGTTTCACCAGGCTAAAGATGGACAGAATTTCTCCCTGTATGTTTTTATCAACTTACTTAGATTCGGGGCAAAAAATTCTTACTGTTTGACAACTAAATGTGTTATGCTTTGGGTATAAGTTTCCCAAAGCTCATGGGAGACAATGCAGTAATGCTCACAGTGAAGTGATTAGATTATGAGAGCTGTGTCCTAACAGGGCACTAATCCAGATGGCTTAATCATTTGAGATGACTAAGGTACTATGTGGTAACTGCCAGCAGGTGATGTGACTCAGGAAGATAGAGGTCACTGGGGGCATGCTCTTAGTGGCTATATTTCCTCCCTATGAGTTTGTTCATTTGTTCTCTCTCTCTCTCTCTCTCTCTCTCTCTCTCTCTCTCCTTTCCTGCTGTCATATACTAGGGAGCTTTCCTCTGATGCATCCTTCCGCCATGATCTTCTGCCTTTGCTCAGGCCCAGAGCAATGGCACCAATTGACCATGGACTGAATCTTCTGTAACTATGAAAATGACTTTTTCTGCTCTAAATTGTTCTTGTCAGGTATTTGGGTCACAGTAACAAAAAAGTGACTGCCAAGAAAATTACTTTTCATTTTTTTCAGACAAAAAAAATAATGCTCATTTTATTTTAAAAACTCTCATGAAATTGTTTTCCATATGACATCCCATTTTAAAATTTAATGTAAACCAACCTGTGGGTTACTCAAGCTATACAGAATTGCACAATATGTTTACAGAGTCTAGAAGATTTACAAGTATTATTCATTAGGTAGTAATGGTTTGCTGCAATTTTTCCAGCACATATTCCATAGTAAAAGAAAGGGCATATATTGGTGGTGTTCTATAAAAATTCCTAACAAATGGAAAATGGCAATTTTCCAGAAAGAATATTTGTTCTTGAAATAGTTTTCTTAAACAATTGGGAATATAGAAAAAGGCTGTAGATATAAAAGAATTATAACAATGTGTAAGTTAGCATTTTTCTTTTACATTATTGTAAGAACCATTAAGGTAAAAGGTTTATATTCATTATAAAACCACTCTTAAATCTTATGCAAATGATATAACATATGCAAAATATTTCTGCAATGAAAATTGCCCTTTAAAAATATGTTGTATACATGGAAGAAAAATGTCTTGTTTGCTACCTGTGTTCAACTTCCAACTGACCTCAGATCAGGCAGGCAAGATAAACTTTGAGTACACCAGTCACAGTGTATGTTAGAGTATCTATGCAGTCTTGGAAACTGATGAATATTTTGACAAAAGATAAGGAAACTTACTCATTTTCTAAGATATGTCCCAGGTGGCCTTCAATGATCTTCTCAACGAATGCTTGTGAAATCTGCATATGGAACAGACATGCAGAAATTCTGGAATAACCAGAATCAATCAGAAGAAACACAAGACTTGAGGTTATACACATGAAACCTTGTTTTAAAGGATATCTCTCCATCTTCCTTAGCAGGCAAGGCCCTCATCCCAGTCCCAGTTTCTGCAAGCAGTGCAGGAGCCAACCCAGAGGCAGGCTGGCTGGAGGTGGCCCTGGGTGGATGGAGCTCACCATGTTTCTGCTGCACTGACCCTTCTCCAGAGGAGCCTCATCTTCTTTTACTCTTCAGCAAGCCTCCTGGGGAAACACATCACTTTTAGACTCAAAGGCACAGAAATCACACATTGGAGCAATGTTCTGTTGGCATTCACCACTGTCAGGGCTACTGGACAAAATCACACATGAAAGGCACAAGGACTTCTTCAGTGGTGTTCTCCCTGCCTCCTGGCAGCAGGGGCTCAGGCCAGGGCCAGAGCATACCTGAAATCCTGTTGCTGTAAGGATGCGACACCAGCAAGCAAGGCCAGATTGATGTCTATGTAGAGCCCACCCATCTTGACTGGAATACCTGAGCTTGCTGTTCTGGGATTGGTGCCCCTCCTGCACCAGCCATTACTGGGGCACCTGTACCTGAGGCTGTTGGATGTGTTGGAGAAGAAATATTTTTGCTGCAATCCTCTTAGAAGAGGTGGAAGTTGGAGTCACAGAAATGCAATTATTGTTATTACCAGAGCAAGTCTTTGACTTATTTATGTCTTTGTTTCCTGGTTTGAACTCCTTTTTTTTCATATCAAGTGGTCAAAGCACCCCATGAGTTTCGAGTGCAAAAGCATTACATACAGTTTCACCCTGAAAGTTTCTGCACCATACGGTGGTTGTGGTGTGCCAGTTGGCACAGATAGTCTAAGTCTCCATGGTGGAGGCACATGCTTCTGGCTCATGGGGAGTCAGCTGAGGCCATTCATCTTGTTGTAAGAGCCACATACTTTGCTTGGGCAATGGCCAGTGTCCTCCAGATGTCCACAGAAGCCACAATTCACACACTAGGGGCTCTCTGCCAGATTCTCCAGCATGTCTGCATGGGGTACTCAGGTACCAGGTGTAGGGCTCCAGGTGGCCAGGCAGGTATCAGTGGTGCACCCATGTAGAGTGAGTATGGACTCAGTATTGGTGGTGGTAATGGTGGTATGTCTGGGGCCATGCCATAGACACTGTGTACTTGTGCTCCTGGCTGTTCATGGGTGCCAAGATGCACCTGCCACTGCCTCTCATGCTGCCAGAGCCCCTGCTTCCCACCACAGTGTAGCCCCCAGGATCTTGTGCTGTGCCATGCACCATGGGAGGGCTCGGCCAGTAGGGGAAGCACCAAGGTGTACAACTCAGCCTAGCCAGGAAAATCAGGCTCTTTTGGCCCAACCACTGGCTACACTGCTTCTTCTGCCTTATGGGGGACTGTGGGCTGAGGCTTGGGGCCAACCAGGGTCCCCACTGAAGATAGGCCAGACAGACAGCAGTGGGTGCTAGGCACATAGACCAGTTACTGTCTGTCTCTGCAGCTGCAGCTACTATGGCTGCAAATGGAAGAAGAGGCCAGGTGCGGCAAGTCCCTAACTGGAGAGGGCAACAAGGATCAGGGAAATGTCCTCAGGCTGCTAGGGTACAAACTGGCTCAGCTTGGCGTCCCAACTAGACCATAATAGCTTGCTAGTGGTCTTGTTCTGGTTGAGCTCAGTGAAGAGCAATAGGTTTTTTCAGCTGGACAAGGCACTCCCAGGGAAAAAGACGCTAGCACCAAAGGTCCATGGGGAGCCCTGAAGAAATGCAAGGCTTATGGGCTGAGAAGCAAGGAGTAGGCGAGGAATCCTGCTGCTGCTTTTGTGAGGAGCTATGGTGTCCTGGCCCACTCTAGATACAGGAGGAACAGGAGGAGGAAGGGATGGGGGAAGGCAATGTGGAGAGATCTCACCATGGAAAAACCCTGAAGTCACCTGTGTCTGCAGCCTTGGCTACACAGAAATTCTGCAAACAGCCACCATAAGCCATGGCCATCCATGCTCTGGAGCTGCTTCAGAATAAATTCTATCTCCTTGGGCATGCACTGAGCAGGGAGGATAGCAGCGAGGGTTGCTCTTGGGCACTGAGAGGCCCAGGGCACCTGAAGGAGTATGCAAATTCCCTAAATGATGCTTACCATTTCTACAAATTGATTTTGCTTGAAATTCTACAATATTTACTTATGTTTTAAGTCTATTTTCATGTTTAAATCCTATCCATATATAAGAAATTTAGAAAGCTCATGTGCCAGCACAGTACTTTTATTTTTGAGTATAATGCAAAACCAAAGGACAGGTAGCAACATTCCAGATCTTGTGTAATGTATTTCTTCATTCAGGTCGTACAGCCTGTGTTGTTCTCTGCCTACTTACTTTTTGCTCACATCTCCCACATTCATACCAGTATGTCCTCAGCTTTACTCAGCCATAGGTTTTCTACTTTTGTTGAATTTTATGGAATTTTTGTACAGGTCTCATGGTGATTTTTTCTCTCTATAAGTATTTTTCTGTGCTATTTGAGAAAACTCTATTTGGAGCTTTTTTTTTTTCCCCAGTAATGTATTCATTTAATTATATAAGCCTTATTTCCCTGGGTAAATTTCCATAGAAATATGTGCTTTTTACATGCTATTGGAAATGCTATTCTAAATTTCTTTGTGTATTTGTCATTGCCGATATATAAACTTATTTATAGCAACTATGCAGAAATTAATTATTAATACCCTGGGTTTTCTTGAGAAATCTTGTGGGAATTTGAAGTGTAGGATCCTGTCTTCTGAGAGTAGAGATAAAGCAATTTCTTCCCCTATCTCTGGTATAGTTCTTGTCTAAATGCCCTACTGAGAATTCCCATGTTCAATGATGAGTGGCAGTGGGAAATGTCAATATCATGATCTTGCTGCTGATTATGTCCAAAGATTTGAGGACTCAATACCACTAACATGTACACTTACAAATTATTAATTTGGGTAACATTATGGCTATTTCAATAATTTTTTTTTCTTTTTTACTGAAACTACTTTACTTTTGCCTTTTTACTTTCTCTACAGAATTTAACAGTTTTTACAAGTTGTTATAATACATACCCACACTTCTTTCTCATTCTATCTTTTTCTGGGTTACAATAAAATTTTTCTGAATATTCCTGAGAATCATAGAATACTTTGCCACTTCTGAGCAGTTGTGCTCTTGATCTGCCCATGATATAGCAACACAGTGTGATGCTTCAAACAATTCCTGCCATAAATATAAGTGCCTTGCAGAAACTCCATGCAAATTTCAATTCCATTCTCTTTGTGAGTGTGACACTGTAGCTGACTTACCAGCTCAAACACAAGGTCAAGGGAAGCCTCCTCACTTTTGTCCTGGAAGAGCTCAGTACTCAATTTATCACTGATGTCCAAATATACTGGATTATAAATCTGTTGTCTTGGAAAATCCCTGGAATATAATCAATCCATTACTTTATGCAGTCAGGGCTAGTAGGAATATCACTTGAAACTGAATGTGAATGTTTTCTCTGATAAGTAGATGCTGATCCATAATGGGGGAGGGGGCAAGGGAGGAATGGATGAACTTTAGATAGGGCAAAGGGGAGGGATGGAAAGGGAGAGGCAAGGGGGTAGGAAAGATGATGGAATGAGATGCACATCATTACCCTAGGTACATATATGATGACATGAATGATGTGACTCTACTTTGTGTACAACCAGAGAAATAAAAAGTTGTGCTCCATTTGTGTACTATGAATCAAAATGAATTCTGCTGACATGTATGACTAATTAGAACAAATAAATAAATTTTTAAAAAAGTTCAGTCTGGAAGTGCCTTGTGGTCGAATGAAACACTGTCTCACTCATGGTTTCTGGTGGAAAGGTGTGATTTGGATTGGAACCGCTTTTTCTGGAACATCAGTGGAAAGATGGGCTTCTGGTATTTGGCCCCCCACAGGAATCAGGACAGACACATTATTTTCTTCTGTTGGACATGATGGATTAATTTTCAGAGGTTTTTTCACATAGGTTCATGTAAACTGCTCTCATCTCCACTCTGGTCTTCAGATCTAAAATCCCCATGAAGTGATCCAGATTCTAGCAAAGTGTTTAATATTGGTCTCAAAGACTTTAGGGTTTGAGTTCCCAATCTCTCCTGATCCTGCTTTTTCATAGAACAGTCTTCAATGGAGTGATCTTCTCAAAGAGTCTCATTTGGCATGAAAGGTCATCAGGACAAGAAGCAGGCTGCACTGCACTGTCTGGCTCAGGTTCGGTGGTTTCCATTCCCACAATGTGGATTAGCTCCAATTGCTCCTCACGGTCTAAAAATCCTACCAGAAAAGGAAGAAAGATGATCATTTACAAAATGATAATTGAATCCCATTCATTATTTAAAATGTTTTGTGTTGATCTGTGACTAAGTCACTGAAATCACTCCTCCTGTGCTGTATTTATTCTCTAGGGGTCCATTTTAACTTTTAAGAAATGAAGGCTCCAAAACAGCACAAAGCTATTCAAAATCAAAGCACAGGTAAAGGCAGGTGAGAAAGAATGCCTTTGAACAGGACTTGGCAATTATTTGTGGACTTAACACTTTGTAATTCTGCTGGGTTATGAATTTTTATCATAAGGCCAAGGTGGGGTAGCATAGGAGACAGACATAACTGTGTCTAGATGAAGATAGCAAAGAAAACACATCTCAGTTTGTGGTTCTCTTTACAGTTGTTTATGTATCATCAGCTTCATGAGTTGACAAAAACTTGGTTTCTTTGTGAAGGGGAAAAGTGCATCAAATGAAAGATAAACTTAAACATTAAATAGTGAATTTGGGGTATGGGTATATACAAAGAAAACAAGAGACTCTCAATTGAAGTGTTACATGGGATAAAGTCAGAAGCCTGTTAAACATTTCTATATTCATAAAGTTCCAATATACTCCAAGAATGTGAAGGGCCTAGTATGGCAATTGCCAGAAAAACATTACCACTACTGAGAAAGAATACCAGGTTTTCAGCTTCAGCAGTAACCATACTGCATACTGTGTTAAAAACCAAACACGACTCCATTATAGGTAAAGGCCTCATTTTGTCTTCAGAAAAGTTACATATGTGCACTTTAAAAAGCCAGTAAAGGCATATTATAGAAAGGCAGCATAAAATACACACAAAATTTCAGATACTAAATGAACTCCCCAAAGAAATTAAAATATTCTTGCAAGAATCAGAATCCTTGAACAAAAGTGAGATTTGAGAGTATTGACTGACATTATGCCAAGCAAGAAAGATAATGAGCAATTGATTCTCTTCACTTTTCCACCAAATTGAAAGGACATGTGATGCAAAGGCCTATGCCTTAATCAAATATGCATGGAGGGTGTCTAGTATAGTGCCCAGCACAATGCACACAGTGGGTGTTCCATACATATTTCTTAGCTGAATTAATGAAGAAAAAGGTATGCATTAAATGCTAAGTTTTTAGTTGCTTGTAGGTCAAAAACAGAGTTTTGAGAAAAACAAATATTAAAGTCCTAATTGGAGAGATTCATAATTGATCTATAGAAAGTGAATAATCAAACTTAGAAACACAAATCACAGAGCATGGCATATGACAAAGTGTTTGCCTAAGTACAAAAGGAAGAAGTGGAAAAAGGAGCTTTCAGAGTGAGTGGTCATCCTTAGGGAAAGCTTCCAAAGCAGGGACCTGACACAGACAGAAATCAACCTCAAGGCACCCAAGCAAGGCCTGTTGTTCATACTTTGGTGCTCCTGCCTGGAGGCACAACTGGCACAGTCCGCGGTGTTCCCTCCGCACCACCTGAAGCCCACGCATGCTCACTGACCACTCACCTGGCCCCCACCCCGCGCCAGCGGACAGGTGGGTGCAGATCCACTCACGCGCTCAACCGCCGCTCCTACCCAGCTCCAGGGCGCTCCGGGCGGCAGGCCGGCCTGGGTGGGCCGCGGCACCCAGTCCCCATCAGCGGACACCACAGGGACAAAGGTAAGAAAGACACGGGTTGCTGCACGCCATCCCTGCCCGCCGCGGGTCCCAGAGGCTCCTCCCGGAGGACACCTGCCCGCCGCCCTGGCACGCGGTGCAGGCAGCGTCCTAGCGGGAAAGAGGCGCCCGAAGTTCTGGTTCAGCCACCAGCTTCGAGCTGCCGCGGGCGGCGGGTCGCAGGCCGCGGAAATGGCAGCCTCGGCCGGTCAGGCTTTGCACACCTGCCGGCGAAGGGCGGAGCGTGAGGCCGGGCGAGTGGATGCCGTGCCCCGGGCAGCGCAGGTAGCGACCAGAGCGGGACCTGAGCGCACTGCCATCCCGCAGGATCCAGCTCTCCAGGCTTCCGTTAGCGGAAGCGGGCAATTGGAGGGACCACGGCGGACAGTGCGCCCCCTACTGGCTGGTCGGCCACTCAGCCGCCAAGCCGCCAAGCCGGCAAGGAAAGCGCAGGACTCTGCAGCTATTTCAAATCAAAGGCTGAATGTTCTCTCTGATAAGTGGATGCTGATCCATAATTGGAGAAGGGGGGTGGATGGAGGAATTTTGATGGGGCAAAGGGAGGGAGGATTGGGGAGGGGGAAATGGAGGCAGGAAAGACGGTGGGATGAGATGGACATCATTACCCTAGGTCCATGTATGAATGCACAAATGGTGCATCATGTACAACCAGAAAAATGAAAAGTTGTGCTGCAATTGTGTACAATGAATCACAATGCATTCTGCTGTCATATACACCTAATTAAAATTAATTAATTAATTAAAAAATAAATCAGCATACTTCAAAAAAAAAAAAAGAATTTTAAAGCTCTCTAGAAGCACATGGAGATACAAGGAAGCCAAATGATCATACAATATTGAGAGAGAACAGTGGGGAGTTGACAGGACTCCACAATGGGCAGGAGGAGTGGTAAGATACTGCCGTTGAATTGTATAGTGCGTTTATTTTGTTTTAACCCATTGGTAAATTCACCATCCCACGTTGATTAGCAGGGCTTTAGCTAGAGAAGCCAAGGCTCCACTTCATGCCCTACTGATCCATGCCTTTATATTTCTTTGTCCACCATAGATCATGTCCCAGCAGCAACTCTATCTCTGAGTGTTTTTCTACCACCTCCAACCACTCCAGCCCTGTGTCCATACACTGCTGCCTGAGAAATCTTCAGCCACACTCATGTACTGACATTTACTCTACGTTCATATAGAACATCCTGTGGATCTCGCTGAAGAGCTTTGAAATTAGAGGCATAGATTCCTGAAACTCCAAGTGGAAGAGCCTTTGTTCTGATTACACTATCTTGTGGAAGGCTTCTGATGCACAGAACCCAGGGAGAGTGAAAGACCCCAACCATTCAAAGTCCGAAAGTGAGGGAGCACACCAGGTTGTCCAGAGATCAGTTTATTTAGCAGAGGTGGAAGCATCTGCAGCAGCAGTGGTGTGGTTCTAGGGATCTATATAGCCCCTAAGGGAAATGTGCCTGGTTACAATTGGCCAGGTGATCCTAAGTGCCTGTTCTCAGTTCCCTATTGGGCTCCTGGGCCGCTGACCAGTCTTTGGTGGGTTCTTTTGGCTGGCTTTTCCTCCTAATCAGCAGGAAGGATCGGGAAGCCTAGAGTCCTAGAGGTGGCTGCCATTGTTGGGCGGTGGCCCATCCCTGTCCTGACTCTGTGCCCAACAGAGGGCCTGACAACACAGAAGTCAGAGCAAGAAGATGCTGTGTGGCCCCGCATTGACTCAGCAGTAGGAGCAATGGCAGAGCCACTCTGTAGCCACCTGGTGTTTGTTTCTGTTTTGTATGATTGGATCCTGGAGAGTATCTTTGTCTTCAGCAGTGAATGGCATGACCCACTAGACAGTCACACACTGAAGGTAGGACACCAAGGGAGCAGGTCTCTGTAAGAGCTGGAGGACACTGCTGCTTTTGAACCTGGGGAGGGAGTTTTGAATCCAAAAATATATGTCTGAATGCAGGTCTCTTTATAGTTTTCATATCTTAATGACCTGTGTCAAGAGATCTGATTCCATGACCTTTGAGTGTGCTACGTTACCACCTTTTCTAGCTCTCTATGGAAAGTTGACCTTTGCCAGGAGATGAGCTCATTCTCCCCTTGTTACCCAAACATCTAGCCTTGGGCTCTGATTGGTGATGACCTCTTAGGCAAGAAGCCTAGGAGATCTTATTTGGGATTAGTGTTTATTTCTGTCTAGACTCTTTCTGCTCTGCAACGAATTACCTGGGGATGGTTATCTAAGAGGAAGAGAAATTCCTTTCTCACAGCCCTGGAGACCATAGAGTCCCAGATCCAGGTGCTGAGCATTGGACTGCTGAGGGCATTCTTGCTGTGTCTGCACATGGCAGAAGGCAGGAGGACAGGGCGTGGGGTGGGGGGGTGGAACTCCCACAGGCACAACCTGGAGCCAGGAGACAAAATTTTTCTCTCATCTGCCAGGTGTAAGGAGGGCAGTGCACCCACTTTCTGCAGGTTCAGGATGTGCAGCAGCATCACCTTCTCTTCCTCACCGTCAACATCTGGATAACAGGGCACAGCGAGGTCTGGATAGTTCAGGAGTGTTTCGTCTGGGATGAGTGTGTGCACCCAACCATTGTAGGGAGATGAGGGGAGAATGAGAACCTCCTGCATCAGAATCCAGTTTACTGGAAGAAGGAGATGAAAGGATACTGAGAGGAAGTGGGGAAGTGTGAGATTCAGGGGCTGGATGCAGAGTAAGACAAATGGGTGCCCATGTTCTAAAGTGCCCGGCTCACTTTTTTGGCAGATGACATAGGAAGAAACCAGACACACTGAGGGGAGCTCTGCAGAGGCTGCTACTGTGTGAGCTCACAAGTGGAGACAAGAGGATGGGACAATCCACGTATTTCATTTAAGCAGGCCCCAGAACACTCTCCCAGGGAATCCATCACCACTCCATAGCTGCTCCTCCTGCTGCCAGGCTGAGGCTCCATATCTCCTTTATCCAGACGCAGAGGCTGCAGGTGCTGCTGGCACCAGGGTGTGTGACTCAGAGGGGGCTGCCCACTGTGTCCCTGATGGAGATGCCACTGGAGAGGTTCAATCTCTTACTCTGCAGGGACTGACAACCACTCTGCCTGTCCAACCCCCAACTCATCAGGGCCATGGTCAGTGAATCACTAGGTGTGGAAGGACTGGGAAAACCTGGCCTTCAGAGTCTCCCAGGCTCCTCATGCAGGCAGGACCACCCACTGCACCCAGATTTGCAGCCCTGTGGGCAAGCAGTCCTGGCCTCAAGCAAGGACATTGTGGCTTCAAGGACGAGTGGGACACATCCCAGTCCTGGAATCTCTCAGTTGCTGTGAAGCCTCCTAGGACTTGGGACACATTTCTCAATCTGAGGATTGAAGGACGTGGTGTGTCAAGATATATATCACTTTTTGCACATATGCCACATTCAACCAAGACCAATACCTATTCATTTCAATGCAGTGCTCATGTGGAAGATCAGGATTGTGGTTACTTATCTTCCTTTTTCCCCCTTTTGTGACTGAGAATAAAATAATATAAATATATAGTCAGTTTTTTCTTTGTTTTACTTTTTCTAATTTTTTCTAATTAGTTATGCATGAGAATAGAATGCATTTTGACACATGATTCATAAATGGAGTATAACCTCTCATTCTTTGGTTTGTATGTGATGTAGAATCATACTGGTCATGAAATCATATATGCACATAGGGTAATAATGTCCAATTCATTCTATTATTCTTCCTAAACCCATACCCCTCTTCTCCCTTCACTCCCCTCTGTCTAAAGCAGCCCCCCTTTATTGTGGCTTAGTATTTGCATATCAGAGATAATATTCACCCTGTGGTTCTCTGGGATTGGCTTATTTTGCTTAGCTGATATTTTACAGCTCCATCCATTTACTGGCATAAGCCATAATTTCATTCTTCTTTAAGGCTGAGTAATATTCCATTGTGTATACATACCACAGTTTCTTTATCCATTCATCAATTAAAGGGCATCTAGGTTGCTTCCACAGTTTAGCTATTGTGAATTGAACTGCTATGAACATTGAAGTGGCTACACTACTATAGTATGCTGATTTTAAGTCCTTTGTGTATAGACCAAGGAGTGGGATAGCTGGGTTGAACGGTGGTTCCATTCCAAGTTTTCTAGGGAATCTCCATACTGATTTCCAGATTGGTTGTGCCAATTTGCAGTCCCACCAGCAATGTATGAGTGTGCCTTTTCCCCCACATCCCCGCCAACAGTTATATTGTCTGTATTCTTGATAACTGCCATTCTGACTGGCGTGAAATGAAATCTTAGAGTAGTCTTATTTTGCATTTCTCTAGTTACTAGAGATGTTGAACATTTTTTCATATATTTGTTGATAGAATGTATATCTTTTTTAGAAGTGTCTGTTCAGCTCCTTAGCCCATTTACTAATTGGGTTGTTTGTTTTTCTGCTGTTAAGTTTTTTTGAATTCTTTATATATTCTGGAGATTAATGCTCTGATGAGCCTGTGGTCAAAATCTGCTCCCTAAATGTAGGCTCTCTCTTCACCTCATTGATTGTTTTTTTTTTTTTTTTTAAGAATAAACTTTATAGTTTTGAGTCCATCCCATTTATTAATTCTTTATTTTATTTCTGTGCTTTAGGAGTCTTGTTAAGTAACTCAGGGCCAACTTTGATGTGATAAAGATTTGGGCCTCCTTTTTCTCTGTTAGGCACAGGGTCTTTGGGCTAATTCCTAGGTCCACAGTGCACAATTATCAAGTTGGGTTTATTCCAGGGATGCAAGGTTGGTTCAACATATGGAAATTAATAAATATAACTATCACATCAATAGACTTAAAGATAAGAACCATATGATTATATCAATTGATACAGAGAAAACATTTGACAAAATACAGCACCCTTACATGTATAAAACACTAGAAAAACTAGGGATAAGTAAGAACATATCTTAACATTGTAAAAACTAGCTATGCTAAACCCAAGGCCAACATCATTTTAAATGGAGAAAAATTGGAAGCATTTCTTCTCAAAACTGGAACAAGACAGGGATGCCCTCTTTCTCCATTTCTACTCAACATAGTCCTTAAAACTCTAGCCAGAGCAATTAGACAAAAGAAAATGAAGGGATACAAATAGGAAAAGAAGAACTCAAACTATCATTATTTGATGATGACATGATTTTATATTATAGTGTCCAAAAAACTCTACCTGAAAAATTCTAGAATTAATTAATGAATTCATCAAAATAGCAGGATATAAAATCAATACCCATAAATCAAAAGCATTTCTATGGATCAGGGATTTATCCTCTGAAAGAGAAATTAGGAAAACTACTCCTCAATAGCCTCAAAAAAATACTTGGGAATCAAATTAACAAAAATGGTGAAAAACTTCTATAATGAAAACTACACAACACTAAAGAAAGAAATTTAAAAAGACCATAGAAAATGGAAAGATCTCCCATGCTCTTGGATAGGCAAAATTAATATTGTCAAAATGGCCATACTACCCAAAGCGCTCTACAGATTTAATGTGATTCCAAGAAAAATATCAGCATCATTCCTGTAGAAATAGAAAAAGCAATCATGAAATTCATCTGGAAAAATAAAAGACCCAGAATAGCCAAAGCAATCCTTAGCAAAAAGAGTGAAGCAGGAGGCATCACAATACCAAACCTTAAACTATACTACAAAATTATAGTAACAAAACCTGCATGGTATTGACACCAAAATAGACCTGTAGACCAGAGGTACAAAATAGAGGACACAGAGATAAACCCACATAAATACAGACAAAAGTGTCAATACTAGACAAAAGTGTCAAAAACATACATTGAAGAAAAGATAGCCTCTTCAACAAATGGTGCTGGAACTTAAAATCCATATGCACCAAAATAAAAATAAACTACTATCTCTCATTATGCACAAAACTCAAAGTTATCTATTTCTTAATATTTTTTCCTTTTTTGCATATTTGACTCATAATGAGACATCATCTGTGCAGGGTCAATCCTCACTAGACTCCAGATCTGACTTTTTACTGAGAATTGTTTTTTACCTCAGCACATTTTCTACTATCCTCTTATTAGTAGTATTCCAAAAAGGAAAGATAGTAATAATTTAAATCTTAAACCATAAAGGTATTGTTTTTGTGTGCAAATACTAAAGCAAAATCTATGTCCTTAAAAGTAGCATGTTGTTCATTTTGAGGGAGCATGATTGGGTTAAGGATTAAGAGACAAAGTTTATATATGTTCTCTTCTATGCTCAGTACATGTTACTATTATGGAAAATGAACTTACCTTACAGATATGGAAACATCCAGAAATTTGTAAATTTTTAGTAAGAATTACATCATAAAAATATCAAAGTGACAACAATTGGACTTCCAATTAGCAATAGAAAATCAATTGAAAACAGTAAACTTTGGTTTGCTAGTTAAGAATATGTTCAGTACTCTTTGAGATAAAATGATCTTAAGTCACAATAAATAGTATTGTCTATGGGCTTTTGCTGCTGAAGTCCAGAGACAAGGCCACATCACTACAGAAACATCCTGTTACAGAAGACCACATGTATGTTAAAATATATAATGTACAAAAAAAGGGGAGGAGGGCTTGACATTGTTTTTGACTCCTCTCCTTTATTTACAGTCGGTATCCAGTTTATCAGCAAGTCAGTTACACCCTCAAAGCATTTCCATATAACTAGTTCCTATTACCTCTACCACTGTCCAAACAACTGATCTTTTGCATGAGTTATTTTAATAGCATCATAATCAGTCTCTCTGCTACTACTTGTGTGCCCACAAATCATCATACCAAACTACAATAATCCTAATTCATAATTCACTGTTTCATTAAATCATAATTCATAAATTCATTTAATTGAATTAAGCATTTTCCATGAACTGGTCTAATACCAAAGAATTAAAACAGGTCAGATCTCATCAAATTTTCTCAAAACCTTGTAGGGAGCTTCTCAGCTGTTTTATGTTAAAAGCTAGAATGCTTACAAGATCATGCAAAGCCATACATGACCTAGTCCCCTCCTGGCTCTATTTGATTGTCCTGCTTCTCCACCCTTCATTCATTCAGCTTCTATTACTAGAGCATTCTTACTGTTGCCCAGACATGCCACTCATTTCCATCTTCAAGGCTTTGCACTGGCCATTCCCTCCCTGGTACACTGGATAATATCATAGCTTGCCCCCTAAACTCTGGTCTTTTCTCTGAATTCATCTTCTCAATGAGGTTTCCTTAGTCCACTTTATATAAGATGGAAAACTCTTATTTTACCTAATAAACTTTCCCATTTCTATTCTTTCATGGTTTATTCATCTATTATTCATATCACCATCTAGCATGTTCTATTAATTATTTCTGCTAATTATCTCTTATATCTCTAAAATATAACGTCTGTAAGAGCAGAAATTTTTGTCTAGATTCTATATAGTGGCCTTTCCAGTCTTTAGAATGGTACTTGACCTAAAGCTGACACAAAACGTATTTGAATGAAGGAATGAATGAATTAGTAATTGAAGAATAGAGGAAAACCTAAGTGTATGATAAGATTTTATTTTAGTTCTTATTTTTCTGCTGTGTTTAGAAATTATCTTTCAAGAAATTTCTATAATGACAAACGTCAAACAGAAAAGGTACACAAGTCTACCTTCCTCTGTTAGAATAGTAGGTTTTTATTGCTGTTTTCATTTGCCTTTAGGTAGGTCATGGGTGCTCCTTTTCCTATCCTCATGTTTTACACCTGACTGATTGACACACTTACTTTACGTGCCTGCCTGATTTGGTAACTCTGCTAACATCATTTTAAAGGCTCCATAGAGAAGTATTACAGAGGCCAAAATCATAATTCATTAATTCATTTAATTGAGCACTTTTCATCAAATGTTCTAATGACAAAGAATCAAAAATGAAAAATTCCTTCTTAATAAGAAATGTATTGGGGTCACTGAAAGTTTGGGTCTTATACTCAGCTGACCTCTTTGGTACAAACAGTCTTTCTTTTATTTCCAGGAAGAGTACATTTCAGAGATACCATCATACTAACATAATCACTGGATATTTACTTCCTTTCTTCACATTCTCATGTCTCAGGCTTTCCTCCAGAATAGTCCTTCTACCATTCCATTTTCATTAAACAGTAGATTTATCCCTGACAATTGCTGCTTCAGTCAAAATCCTCTGTCTGTTTTTTCAGGCCTCACCAAGCTTTGCCTTCAGGCCCCATAGTGGGAGCTACCCTCCCTACAGCCAGTGCATTCTAGTTTTCTGCAGAGATTGGCATTCAGTGAGAAACCCCAAAACCATCCCCTGCTTTGGCCCAGCTATGCTTAAACGTAGCATCCATATTCCTAGCCCACAGGCTTCCATGTGAAGGTCTCCTTCTCCAGGCCCTTGGCTAAGGCACTTTACTCTGTACCTTTCCACTCTTGGAAATTCTCTCTCGAGTCCGTAGTTTATTTGGGGCTCCTTAGCAATGAGATCATTTTCCTTGTATGTGATGTATCTCTTCATCCTCACACAGTGCTGTTCTGTAAGAGAAATGAACACTGGGAATCTGGCACTTTTGTTCCTCTTTTAATTAATTAATTAATTAATTTTTGTATTTACTGCATACTTATGCAGTAAATAAAGTCTTGATTCTGACTTTTAATTTGGTTTGTTGTCTTCATTTATTACCTTGATATCTCACCGATTATTTCAATGCTGTCTATATCAAAGAAGGTTATAGAGAAACAAATTGATTGTTAATCCTGTGTCTCCCCATATCTTCCTACTTTCTCTGACTTAATATCATGGAAACAGTTGAAGGCAGAGCATTCTTTTGATTCTTGTATGTCATTTTGAGATTATGACTTCTATTTGATAATCTTTACCACTAGTAAAGTTAATTGCATCCACTAGAAGTCAATTTCTTGTTGTACCTAGAATGGCACCTAGGATCCTTTTTATGCACAATAATGCCCCAGATATCAGACATTCACTTCTTCTTTAACCTTACCTCCTATCAGTCTCTGCTTCATTCATTGCATTTCAGCCAGGTGGCTTGTCTTTTTCTTAAGCATATCAACTCATCCCTATCTCAGAGATTTTATACATATTTAAGCTCTGCCTAGAATGTTTTCCCAGGATCTCAGCAAGTCTAGCTCCTTCTAGTGTCTCAGCCCAAATGCCACCTCTTTAAGTTATTCCTTTACTGGTGTGTCCTTCACCCAGCCACTCTTCACTTCATTACTTTCCTTTCTTTTTATATCAGTTATCACTACCTTCAAATATTTTGTTCATGTATTTACTTGTTTATTTATAAAGTATAAGCTATTGCTTAGCACATATTTCAGTGTTTAGGACAGTACCTCTGTATTAGTCAGCTTTTTCACTGCTCTAACTAAAAGACCTGAGAAGAACAACTTTAGAGGAGGAGAAGTTTTTTGGGGGGCTCACAGTTTCAGAGGTCTCTATCCATAGACAGCTCTCTCTTTCTCAGAGCTCAAGATGTGGCTAAACATCATGTGGCAGAAAAAAGCAGCTCACATGATGATCAGGAAGCAGAGAGACAGAAACTCCACTCACCAGTTATAAAATATATACTCCAAAGTTATGACCTAATGCCCATCTCCTCCAATCATACCCTACTGATCTTCAGTTACCAGTTAATGCCATTAGGTAATTAATTCACTCATTGAGTTAAGACTCTCATAACCCAACCATTTATCCTCTAAAACTTCTTGTACTGTCTCACACATGAGCTTTTGGGCGACACCTCACATCCATACTATAACAATGTATTATTCAAATAAATAATAAATCTGCTTTCTTATTCTTCTAGCCAACATCCACCTACTGGTGGGTCCCTCATTGTGTTTCTATTGTTTTGAGGATATGTCCAGGTCACATTAATGTCCTATTCATGCCCTATTGTACAGTTTCTCATATTTTCTGAAATGTATTTCACCATTATTCCAGCTCAGTGAGTGATTCTCAAAGCCATAATTTGTCATCATCTCAAACTTCTAATATCCTCCTCTCTTAGACCACAATTACCTATCTTTATATCACACTCTTTTCTAATTCTTTCTGAATTTTTCCTTGAAGGTCTTATTGATTTATATAAAACCCTTGAATCCTTTTTTCTTATACTTCTGACAAATCTTCTAAATTTCATTTTCTCGCTTATCTGCTTATGATCTAAATAACTAACTAATGACTAAGCATTTCAATGAACTCTCACAAGCTTTTTAAAAACTCCTTTGTGAAGAATGAAATTATGGCATTTGCAGGTAAATGGATGGAGCTGGATAAAATCATGCTAAGCAAAATAAGCCAAACCCAAAAAACCAAGGACCGAATGTTTTCTCTGATAAGTGGATGCTGATACATAATGGGATGGAGGGCTGGCAGGGAAGAATGAAGGAACTTTGGATTGTGCAGAGGGGAGCGAGAGGAGGGAAGGGATGTGGAGATGGGAAGGACACTGGAATGAGACAAACATGTATGATTACACTACCGGTGTGACTCTGCACCATGTTCAGCCAGAAAAATGAGAAGTTGTGCTTCATTTGTGTATAATGTGTCAAAATGCATTCTACTATCTTGTATAACTAATTGGAATGAATATTTAAAAAAAACCTTTGTTATACAATCATATACTTGGACTTAGAGTAGTATAATAGATGTCACAATGATAAAGTTCTTTTCCTCTTGTACTGTTCCAGGTTTGAAAGCAAAACTAAAACATCAATTTTTCTTCATAATTCTTTGATTTCCCCATAATGTCTAATGCATTTTTTCTCATTCTTCAAAACAAATTCTCCTCTTTCCTTAAATCTCCAGGTGCATCTTACCTAACTCCAACTGAACATAAGATCACATATTTTCTATTAAGGAAAAAAAGACAATGAAGTAGACATTGATTATTTCAATTCTGTACTCTTTACTTTGAAACACAAACTACAGCACTTCCTGCTCTCTTTTCTTCAAATCTCTCTCAGAGTGTGAAGTATATGTTATTTATGTTCAGTACCTAGTACACATTCCAATAGGCATTCAATATATGTTGACTGAAAAAGTGGAACAGCTGATGGGCAGTTCAGATTTATTAGTAGAAATTGGTAGAATATTCTGAAGACAAATGCACACGTGATATATATATATATATATATATATATATATATACATATATTCATTCTAGACTAAAACAAAGCTAAATAAATAAATGATTTTGACATAATAGAATTAGTAGGACATTTAATTTGCTGTTACACTTGCTTAAACATGACTACATGGTCCCTGATACCATGTTGGTATTGGGGTTAGGGGACCCAGTTTTCTAATCTTGACTTGGTTACTAACTGGCATTGGCTCTCTAGACTTTAATAACGAGCTTAAAATGAGGGCCTTGATTGTCTCTAATTTCCCTGGCTATAAAAATGTGTCATTATTACTTTCTTGTCAGTGTGGCAAATTGACAGCTGATGTGAGGATTTTGTTATAAGACAAGTGAACAAAATGACGGGGAAAAATGTCAGAAGTAAGATTCTGGGAGAAGAGAAAGCACCAAGGATATACTGATGCTGGGGCACTGAGTTTACTGTATTGATTTGTCTGGGCCAGACCATAGTGGAAGACATGAAAACTTGAGGTCTCAACATCATTCTTATTACTTATTTCTTGGAGCAATACAGTCAACAGTAGAGAGGTGGATTTAGATAGAAATGTGTATTTGAAAGATTTTACACAGAATACAAAACATATACTTTTACTTTTTATATTTATTTATTGATTGATTGGTAATGAGAGAGGAAACCAAGGATACTTTACCACTAAGCCACATCCCCAGTTCTTTTTATTTTTCACTTTGAAGCATGGTCTCACTAGGTTCCTGAGGCTGGCCTTGAGCTTGTGCTCCTGTTCGCTCAGCCTCTCAAATCTCTGGGATGATAGGTGTGCACCACCACATGAGGTCATACTTTTCCTTTTGAGGTCAAGAGAAGACATGAAAGGATTTTACAAAATGATGTAACATTTCCTTTTAGGTATCACAGTTTGACGATGATAATTGTAGGGATACCACTGAATTTTCCAGAGTTCTAAAGTGGACTGAATAATAATGCAAAATTTATATTGTAAGTGTGTATCTTCTTAATTTGTTATACTTAATCACTACTTATGGACAAAATCATGAGGAAAGATCTAAAGATGAATGTAGTCATTATCCTCTATTTTTCTGAGACTATTACTTGGTATTCTTACACATACAGACTGAAAACCATGATTTTAATTATTACTTGAGAAATTTTTTACATTTTGCATTTGTCACTTAGTCTGTCCTGATACTTTATTAAGCCCAAGATAAACATGATAATGCAGAATGCTTAGTGCCTTAGTGGGCAAAGAAAAAGAGCATGTTGGGGATGTTGCCCTAAACTGGATTTGTTGGTTCTGAACATTTTGTGAGACTAAAAGTGTAAGCTCCATTCCCAGATGGGTTAGTCTGTTTTAGAAGGATAAAATTCCACATTGGGCATATAGACACAAAAGCTGATACTTGCCTTTCCACAACAAAAATTGAGCAAGGGTATTTCCACAGGGAGGAAAGGCATGTCTTATGAACATGGCAGCATCCTATTTACCAAAAAAAGAAGAAAGAAATGTTTGTATGTTCCCTCACCAATTATCAGGTTGGTTTGTGACATTATTGGTTATTGAAAATGATTATTCTTTGGAAGTAAGGATAAGAGAAATGAGTCATATCACAATGGAAGATAGGCAGATACTTAATAAATTATTTTACTCTTTAACAATTGATAGCCATTTTTATTGCACTTAGTTTAAATTTACTTAGTGACCACATAGTGCCTGACAGCTTGCAAATGGCATATGTCCTACCCTTACATGCAAATGGTCATATTTGGACAGATAGGAAGCCAGATGTTTCACATACTTACAAAATTCACTTAAAGTAAATAGTACATAGATGGATTACAGCTCTAGTCAACTTTGGATGGCCAAAAGTGGTAAAAAGAAAAATAGATGCTGTTAAAAGGGGGAGAAAGCTATTCATCAGCCTTTAACTTTTCTGTAATACTACTGAAAGTGAGGTAACATGGATTTATCCATTGTTTACTTGAAGTAACTTTTGTGTCACTATGCTGAAATATTCCTATCAAATATCCATGAGCTATGTATTTTAAGACACCTGTAAAATTACTAAGTCCTTCTCCTTCAGCCCCATGTTATGTGAAACATGAAACAAAAACAAAAACAATTTCCAGTTGCTTTTTTTCCCCAGCAAATAAGAACATCTATTTTCATACCTGAATATTCAGTTGTAATGTGTGTAATTTTGTAGTCCTGCTGCAAAGAATATTTTTCCTCTTTGTACAAAGACATAACAGATGCAGTTAGAGGATATTATATTGTCATATGCATCAGAGGAATAGAGTTGGTATTAAATCTTTCACGTGGCACTCAGGCACCAAGGCATCAAAAAAGGAAATGGCATTCCTCAGAACCCCTTTTCACCCTTCAACCCTAGGGGGTCTTGTTATATCTGAAGATGGTATTTGTAAAAGTCAAGTGCAGAATGGGCTATAAATTGTCTGAGGAGCTGTGGAGAAGGAAGGGGCTCTCATCATGTCTAAAGGAGTACCTTCTCAAGGACCAAGTAAAGTGCTGATTTTACATGCTTTGTTGATTCTCCAGGTACTGTGAATATGGGAAGGGGAGGTTTGATTGATGAGACAGCCCATTTAAGATTGCAGACAATAGTAGGTGATGGTGTTGAATAACAATGGCCAGAGAACAGCTCATGCACCATTACTTACAAATCTTGATTAAAAATAAGACACCTACAAACAACTCTGAGATTTAGAAGTACCACTGTCCTTGTTTTATCAGCAACTTGGAGCAGCTTCTGTAGGGTCATCAACTGCCAGTCTTCATTGTATTAATATTCTGGGTTTCATATTCATTCAGATGAAAAAGTAATGAATTTCAAAACAATGTAATCATATTACAATGCTACTAAACCTACCTTCTCAGACACCCCCCTGTGCTTTGGATAATGCTTTGTATCATTCAACAAGACATGTTTTTTTTTTTTTTTTTTTTTTTAATGCTGCATTAGATTAAAAAAAAAGCCAGAGAGAAATACTAATGCCTGTAGAACTACTCTGATGGATGTTTTTCAAGCCCTACAGTATACTCTCCTTGAACAGAATTTTCTTCTCTGTAAATGGGAAAAAGAAGCTTAGTTGAAAGAAAATTAACTTGAGTTTTCCTCACTTTTAACCTACACAGGTCCCAAAATGTATTTTTAAATTGATTAAGCACCTACTATTTCAGTTTTATATATTCATTTAACAACTATCTGTTAAATGTCACACATTTAACAATGAACTAATGATATAGCAGTAACAGGTAGAAAGTCTTCCTTTCTTCGTGGAACTTACCTTCTATTTGTGGGGGCTGTTGTGTTAGTCAGTTTTCTGCCACAGTAACAATACATGATAAAAACAACTAAAGTGAGGAAGGATTTATTTTGACTCATGGTTTTAGAGATTTCATTCCATGATTGGTTGGCCTTGTGGGGAGGCAGAACATCACAGCATGGAACATATAACAGAACAGAGCTGCTTGCCTCATGGCAGTTGGAAAACAGAGGGAGAAAGTGAGGAAGGGGCTAGAAGCATGCCTACATTGATGTTTCCTCCACCTAGGCCCCACCTCCTAGAGTTTCCATGACCTCCCAATAATGCCATCCAATTATGAATCCATCAGTGGATTAATACAGTGATGAGGTTACAGTCCTCATGATCTAATCATATTCCCAAAGCCCCACCTCTGAACATTCCTGCATTTGGTCTCAAGATTTCAGTGCATGAATCTCTTGGACATTTTCCAGATGCAAACCTTACAGCGTCAAATAGAACACATAAATAAATAAAAACAAATACAATAATAAATAAAGATATATAGATATGCATGTATATGTATATATTCATCAATCAATAAATAAAGACAAATATAAGCCAGGAGTGGTAGCACATGCCTCTAATCTCAGTGGCTTGGGAGGCTGAAGCAGAAGGATCACAAGTTCAAAGCCAATGTCAAAAAGAGGTGCTAAACAACTCAGTGAGACCCTGTCTCTAAATAAAATACAAAATAGGGCTAGGGATGTGGCTCAGTGGTAAAGTGCATCTGAGTTCAATCCCCAGTCCCTACCCCCACCAAAAAGACAAATACTGATAGAAATACTAACTATAATGGAACCAAACATTTATTGAACATTTATCACATGCAAAAATGTACTAGATGCTCTCAAAAACAAAAATCAATAACCAAGTATTTGTCCTCAGGTAGCTTATAGAAGTGTAGGAAAATACAAATCATCACTTTGTTCATGTTAAAATATTGTGCACACAATTAGTTTTGTGGTTTTATCTCCAAGTTTAGTTCTTCCTGTCTGAGTTTATATGTAGTATTACCATAATAGTAAGTATGGGGAGACAAGATGAAGATGGAAGTGAGATGCAGTATCTTCATTCAATAAAGTGTTCAAAGAAAGTAAAGAAAGAAAGAAAAAGAGAAAGAGGGAAGGAGGAGGGAGGGAAGGAAGGAAGAAAGGGAAAAGAAAAGAGAGAAAGAAAGGAAGGAAGAAAGAAAAAGAGAAAGGGACAGTATTGAAGAAAAACAGGATAATTACTATCTTGAAGGATGTGGCAGGTAATAAGTTCAGTTAGGACACATTTTGTAGAGGGTAATCAGACTATTTGTGACTTTACCTTTTCTATGTGACATATAGGATCTTTTCTTAAATGATCTACTTTCTTCATATAGGCATCACCCTTAAAGTTTCCATCACTTCCCAATAACACCATTGAATTATGGGAATTGGGTAGGATACTTGAATAGGATATCAAATACATGGAGCCTCTGAAGGGTGTAGGAGAGAGTAATAAAAGTCAAAACTTTTTTTGTAGTGCTGATTATCAAACTTGGCCTTTCTCATGTTAGGCAAGCATTCTACCAACTGAGCTATACATATTCTCAGGCAGAAAAGTTAAAGATTTAAGGTAGTTGAGAACTTTGACTACTATGTGTTTGTAGGGACATTAAAAGACCTGTTTGATTGATTTATCTTCACCAATCTTAAGCAGCCTAGAGGTTGAAAAGAATAAGGCTGGGTAATGAGGGAAAGAAACAATGGAAATACTAGGGCTAAAGTAATTAAAGGTATTGGTGAGAGCAAGATTGAGGTAATATCCAGGGATTGGATTCTAGTTAGGGAAATGAGAGAACCAAGAGGTGGCTGATAATCTGGAAGAAAATGGAACCCTTGAAGAACCTTTGCCTCTCTGAAGTTAAAGAGTAGTTATGGATAGAGTGAAGGCATGAGGAACATGATGGACAAGAGTCTGAGATCAGAAAGCAGGGATTTGCATGTAAGGTTTCTGATTTGAAATAGTTCTTTTTTCTGGTTGATGATGAGGATTAGGAGAAGGAAAGTGTATAGCTAAAGTGGTACTTGAAGAAAATTTTTAGAGTTAAATAAATGACTCTCCAAGGCAGATAGGTTAAGGTCCTCAGAATAGGGAAAGAGGAAAAGGCACCATGACATTCTGAAAGGAGACAGTGGGCCATGAGAATATCCGGTTGCTACCCCTGATAGCTGCAACCATGATGGCTCTTCCTTAGTTACCTTTACCTGTTGCAACGGCCACCCACAAAAATCTACCCTTACATGAAGGGTGGCTTCTCCCTGACAGATGTGCAAAAGCACAAAGTTGGACCCATTCTCTTAATTACATAAATAAGGGATTGAATTTACACACCTCTGATTGGCTCATTAAACTCAGAGCTTGAAGAGTTTAATTAGTCCAGACTAGCATCCCTCATTAACAAAGTCTCCACCTATCACCTGTGCTAGGCCATTAGGTATGTCTTTAAAAACCCTCAGGCAAAGAATAGCCAACAGCACCCTCCCATGGGACCCCTCCTGTTCTATTGGAGCCTTTTTTCTATGCTTTAAATAAATCTTACTTCTCTACCCTCTGCTTGTCCTTGGAAATCTTTCTTTGAATTGGCAAGACAAAGAACCCAACCCGCCTATTACAGAATTAATTGCTGTATCTTAGGGGAAAGAGTAGTTACTACCAGGATGGCTAGCAAAGAGGAGGGAGATTATTGAACTCATTGATTTTAAGCTGTGGTTGCCAAATAACCCTAGTGGTACACACCCTTGTAGAATTCTCCTCCTAAGCTGTAGCTTGGACCTTTAACTTGCTTCTAACCAACAGAATATATAAGTGATAGGATATCATGCCTATAAATCCATTGTTGTTATGTGATATAGGTGAAGGATTTTGCATATATAATTGTTACTTAATTAGTTTAAAGTATAATAATGGGCCTATTCTGGATTGAGCCTGATGTTGTTAGGTGAAGCATTAAAAGAGGGTCTAAAGGTCAGAGATGGGTGAAGTCAGAGAAATGCTCTCCTGTACCCTTTAAGGACACAGAAGCCATGTTTTGAATTTTCAGTAGAGGAGATAGCTTTGAGGAACTGAGGGCCTATTTCTATAACACAGGAATGAATTCTTCCAACCACCACATGAGTTCCGAAAAGGATCTCATGCCACAACAAGACTCCAATCCTGACTGACACCTTGATTGCAGATTTATAAGATCTTGAGCACAGGACCCAGTTAACCCATGCCCCAGTTCTTGATCTATGGACACTGTGAGGTAATAAACGTAAGCGGTTATGCAGTAATAGAGAACTAATTAGGTATATTAAATAGACCACCTTATGTTAACAGATTGAAATGTGCTCATAAATCTTGTGTAAAATTCTACTAAGAAAACTTTTCCAATACTTCATTTTTCTATAAAACTTTTATTCACAGGAACAAATATGAGATGGTTTCTCAATTAAGACTGTAGATTAGAGCATGAGAAGCAAGCTGTGCAGTAGATAGATATAGAACAATGGGACGGATCTCAGTCATACTTCTCATCACTCCTACTCCTCCTTAGTCAACTTGTCTGCATGAGCAGAAACAAAAGGAACAGGTGCGTCCAGCTGGAGGAACTGAAGCTGCTGACAATCAACACCTCAGGAAAGAAAGCGGCTAAGAGAGGGTAAAAGATGTGAAGTTTATGGAAGAAGCTGAGACGAAGAATGGAAAAGAAGAAGAGGGAAGACAGGGACAAGGGAAAGGGAGGAGAGATTCAGCTCAGTGGCTGCTTTGACAGACGCATATAATTTCATGATGGCTTCAGGCATGCACCTTCTCCCCTAAAATAAATTATCTTTCCAGCCAGTGTGGGAGAGGTTGCCTTACCAGCCAGCAGTGATAGTAAAGGTTCTTTTGCATTGTGAATTCCTCCCCACAGGGTAATCATTGGATATTCCAGGACACCAAGTAGGTCTGTATATAAACATCTTCTATTTTCTTTGATTGTATCAATGGCTTTCATTATAAACAAGCAAGAAAAGTCTTAATGTCTGTTGGCTTTACTACAAAAATGAATAGCCATGAAGGAAGAAAACATTAACTGTTGAAGTATAAGAACATTTAATAATGTATGGATTCATATCAATTCTACTCACATAAAAATCACTTAGTATTTCAGTTTTCTTCTAAAAGTTTACTTTGGAACCAGAATGCAGAACCTTCTGAAATTACTAAGTGGGGTTTCAGACTAAATTAGTAATTATACATTCGGGCATGGATAAACATTTGTTAAACACACCACAGAGCACTTTAAAGTATGTGGTGATTCAATAGGCTATAGGAATATAGTGGAGTCTTTGATTCATTATTTAAAGAATCATGCTTGAGCTCCTGATATACAGTGATTTTTCAATGGTATCCATTATATTTTCTGATGTGGCTCATGGTTATGGGAAGAAGAAAGATGGAGTTGATCATCAATTAAAACAATCTTTATTAATCTTTATTATGTTAAAAACAATCTTTATTGGAGTCAAAATAGTCTGGGGAGTCACACAGAAAAAGTAAAAATCAGGACAATAGCCAATATGAACATTTCATCATGCATATTGCTTGAGAGTAATTTGTGTATTAAAGACACTATTTTAAAATCACAGCCCATTCATTCATTCAACAAATGTTATATATGTGGACACAGATGGATATTTTTATTCAGAGTGATCTTGATGCATCTTTGAATCAGAGATAAATCAAATCCTTCTCTTTCCACTTATAAAAGTTATTTGACTAATCACATTATAATGGCTTTGTCAAAGACCTTTACCTAGGTGAGAATTCAATTAATGTAGGGTAGTCAGAATTAATCACTAATACTTTCATAGCCTGTGTATCTATCTCTATGGTAAGAGTAGGCAGAAAGGAGATTTAGTGGACCAACAAGTTAAAAGTACTACTTTTGTCTGCAGTTTGTAAAATGCAGGAGTTTGGTGTTCAGATATGTATGATTTGGACTGAGCAAAAGTAGATAGGCAGAATTTCAAAGGATCATACTTTATAAAGGTACATGAGGTGATTTAAATACAATATATTAAGTAAATGAAGAACTAGTAGTAAAAGAAAAATTCCTGAGATAGGATTAGGAAAAAATTGTCATGGCTAATAAGACTCTGGTAGGAAATAGGAATAAGTATCTGGGGAGAGACAGCTTGTCCAAAATAAGACCAAACATTAATTGTGGAAATGACTCAGTAATCGCTAGTCCTGCCTCTGAGATCAGTGATTTTCAGAGTACAATTGGGGAAAATACATCTTTACCACCATTAGTGGCATTTTCCTGCCTTTACAAAGTTTTAGACTAGAGAACACATCTCCCTTGTTCTATATCTATATATAAATACATATGCATATATATGCATGTGTGTATATATATAGTGCTATCTCCAAGTACTAATTCTCAATTTAACTTTAGAATAGTTTTTCACTAAACGGAAAATGACTTTTAAAGAACAATATAGCTCCAATTTTCTTTAGAATAGAAAAATCCAAATCCCTTTAGACTTTTCTACAAACTGTTATTTTCCCTACCCTTTAATCATTTCTCTTGTTTTCCTCTCTGGACTACATCCATTTTCCAGACACCTCTTTTAACACACTGAAATTAAAATGGTAAAATGTTCTGTTAAGGTCCTGGCCAGTTTTGAATAGCATCTATGTTTCTATGTCTCATTAACACTTCAGAGTTATTGACAGTGAGTCCTTTCATGCTCAAGTACAGCCTGGCTGAGCCCTCTTAAAACAGAATAGTACAAGTAATAACTCTATATCTGTGCTTGCTGACCAAAGGAAGCTGCTGTGGTTTCTTAGAGAGTTTCTGGCTCGCTCTAGACATTTCCAATATAGCAGCTCATAAGCAAAGTGCTTTTAGCAGTGTTTATTTATAGGATCTTCTTCAGTGAAGTGACATGAGTCTCAAAAATGCTGTTCAAATCACTGCATGATGAACTGCACATTAAATGATCTTATGATACTTTGGATATTAACTCCAAAGAATCAATTTAGACACATATGTCTCCTTTCTCCAAACAATGGATAAATCAAATAATGATTGTTTGACTTCACAGGATTTGGAGCTGATCTACAATGTGATTCTGTGTCCTGTAGATACAGTCATCAGCTAGAAATTTCTCAGGCAAAGTAATTAAGCTGCATAGGACTACAGCATTCATAGCCTAAAGGGGAAATGGATCCCAATTTAAGAGCCCATACATGTTAATTTGTATTTATCCCTAATGGTCATCTGCATGCATTACATATTGCCACATATTAGAAAGCCATAAGTTGTTTATATTCCTTTAAGATGTTTGACAGGGGAATTGAAAATAATCCTTGATTTAAATATTGCATAAGTATTAAGTGTTTTCAAAGGGTGATTACAGATGGGATTTGTATCCAAGCCATTTTCCCCCAACAAGTTCTCAGCTACAGGCCACTTAAGTGCAGTTAATTCATTAGAACTCGAAGAACTTGAGTTAAATACATTAGTGATGAACTGTTCATCTGTAATAAGGCTGACTCGTGCTGGTAATTTCTTGCATAGTTATTATTTAGTACGTATTCCAGAGTTCTGAAAGAAAGAGAAGAAAACAATGAGAAATTTAGCTTTACTTTTTGAGTCTGGTTTTGAGAATATTCTTTCTGTGTCACTGGCTTAATTTGAGCATTCCAGTGTTAACAATTCAGAAACAGGTCAGAAAAGAGACTCAGTGCATTTGTATCATACTAGATCACCCAGGGAAGGCTGGAAGGGAAGACCAGAGAGATTTATGAAACAGTATTAAAGGATGAGTGGGGTTATTCTTAAAGTCTCCAAGTCTTCAACTCTACACCTTAAAATTGTCTGTTTGCAATATAGCATCCCTCCTTAGAGCTCGGAACCCACCAGTGGTCCCTTATTCCCTGAGCAAATGAATTAATTTGGCAGTTGCTGTTCCTCTCCCCAGACCATCCCTATGTTATAATTATCAGTTTTCTCCTTCCTAGTTTGGAATAAAATAACTCTATCACTTTCTGCATTTAATCAAAGAAGTTGTCAGCACTTGATGGCCTTTAACATATGCTCCCATTTGTCCTATTTACCTCCCCAGTCCCCGCCACTTGTCTTCTGTCCTACTCAGTGGACAAAATCTCTTCTCCCCTCTTTCTGTGCACTAGCTTAGAAATTTAGTATTTCCAAGGTAAAGCCTCCAAATCTTATTGTTCCTTCTTAGGTGATGTACTTCCAAACCTTATGTAACAAATAATAGACCCAGTGGAAATCCCTTTGTAGAAAGCTTATAGTTGTTCAGAACATACTAGTTGAATGATAAAATCTGTCATCTTTGTATTTTGGGGAAAAAAAAACTGTCATCTTTGTACCTGGGTTTAGTGGATGGATCTTTGGAGATAAATAATGCTTGGTTTTAATGCCAGCTCTAAAAATCATTAGCTGTGTGACCTTGGATTAAACCAAGGTTATTTTGAACTTTAATCTACTTTTTAAATGGGGCTATCAATTTCAAAATGAAGTATTTGTCAGTTCAGTGAATAAGACTCTCAAGTCAGTATAAGGATTGGAAATGATATCTGTTAAAAACAAAGCCTTGATGAATACATGGCAGCTATTATTACTATATTCTCCCCCATTTACAATGGTTCGATTTATGTCTTTTAATCCAGTAGTGTGAAAATGATATGCATTTAGCATAAACTATACTTTGAATTTTGATCTTTTACCACACTAGCAATATACAATATGATGCTCTCATGCATGTTGTCCAACAATAGCCTGATATAAGTGTTCTGAACATGTTTAAGGCAGGCTAGGTTGGGTATGATGTCATTAAACAAATTAAGTGCATTTTAAACAATGATATTTTCAGTTTACCATGGATGTATCAGAATATAATCCCATTGCAATTTGAGGATCATCTATATTAGGACACAGAGATAGGGAAATTTGGCCACACAGGGTTGTTTTTTTAGCTGTTATTGTTGTTTTATTTATTTATTTGTTGGTTGGTTGGTTGTTTTGATACTGAGGATTCAACTCTGGGATACTATCACTGAGCTATATACCCAGACCTTTTTATTTTAGAATTGGGTTTCATCAAGTTTCTCAGGCTGATCTTGAACGTGTTATCCTTCTGCCTCAGCCTCCTGAGTGACTGGGAGTACAGGCATGCACCACGTCCAGTGATGGGTCATTTTAATGAGAACCCAGGGTAGCACTTGGGAAGACCAACTGTAGATGTAATGAGGTTGACTGGCCCTAAGAAAAATTTAAGTTTGCTGTGTTTGATTCATGTCATCTAAAATAACTAAACACTCAGCTTATCTCTGGTGATAAGAGTTAGTGTAAAGCCACAGGGAAGGAAGGAAGGAGGGCAGTCATTCTCCTCTGTGGTGCCAGAAAGCATCATGGAGAATTGGAACTTTGTGACACTCTGATGTATCATCTCTCCACAGAGCTCCCTCTGTCTCTCTCCTGACTCTGTTCCCAGCTCCACTTTTACTCTGAAGTTACCAAATGCTCTGCAGCATATTCCTTTATTCCTCAGACTCTCTTTCTGAATCATGCCTTTCTTTGGCATTCTTTCATCTATCCTTCTCTGTGTCTCAGAATTAACTAATAAAATTAGACCCTGTCTTATAGAAAGTTTAGTCGTAGTACAGTATTGACCATCCCTATGGAGTAGTCTTCTCCTGCCAAGCCCCTCAGAGATGCCTGTGCATCCCCTGTGGGTGATTGCTAATGACTGAATTTTAGCCTCTAGAATAAACTTTGGTGGTCAGCCTGGCAAAGTCAAAGGGCCCGAAGTAAAGCAGTATGTGTCAGGAATCACTTTGAATTATTTGGCCTGGGAGACACTATTGTGTTCACACTGCTTGGAGATTGTGTCAAAGATACTGTGACACTCTGGGTACCCATTGGCCTACTGATCTCTCAGGGCAGTTTCTATTGAGGAAGGAGATTTTATTATGAATAACTTTATAACAACACTAAGCCTTATCTACCTTATAGATAAATCATCTATCAAGATAGTTTAGACCATGTCACACTTGTTTACTAAGTTCTTAAACTTTAAGACTCTCTTCGCTATCATGGCTGAATTATTATAAACATATTAAGCTTAAAGGTAAGACATATTTTTTCTGAAAGAGTGGCATCCAGTACCTAATCTGGACAGTCAAAGGGAAGAGAAGAGGTTGAGTGCTTCAGAGTGTGTTGTCTCTCACATTGTGTTTGAGCCTTGCCCTTAAGGAATAAACTGTCATTACCCTAAAAAAGAAGGTGCTGAAACACAGCAGGCAAATAAAAGAATAACATTCTTAGAGACCCGGTTATAGAAACTAAAAATGTAAAAACATTTCTTCTCATGACCATAATGTCAGACTGTAGCATGGGTGAGGAGGAGGATGGTTTTTCCAGCTCAGCACAATGAGAATTAATACTCAATTAGAGAATATCACTATTGACTGTACATAGCATTCAGAGGGTGGCAGAGGATAAGACTTCCCATGAGCAGAAGAAGAAAGCCACATGGAAGTATGAGGGATAATTCTGCCCCATTTTTCTGCCACTTGAACCATAAAGAAGAATTTAGGGGCCAGGGTTCCAGTGATTGACCTGGATATGATGAGATTTGGCTATTGGTTATCTATTGCTATATAATATTTTTTCTCCAAAACTTTGTGGCATAACATAGCAAATATTTATTATCTCATAGTTTCTCTAAAATATAAATTTCAGTGGTTATGGTGCAGCATCTCTCATGAGATTTCAATAAGGTCAGTTGAGGGCTCAGCAGGTGGACAGTGTTAATCCTGCCTATCCAAGAACATGGGGAGGGGAGGGGATTTCCATCTTTAAGATCTTCTTCAATTGCTTTTTTAATTGTAGAGATCTTTCACTTCCTTGTGTAGATTTATTCCCAAGTATTTTAATTTATTTTTTGAGGTTATTTTGAATGAGATAGTTTTCCTAATTTCTTTCTCAGCAAACCCTTATTGGACTATAGGAAATCTATTGATTTACGAATGTTGATCTTGCATACTGCTACTTCAGTGAATTTGCTTATCAGTTCTATAAGACTTCTGGTAGCGTTTTTTAGGTCTTCTGATCCTCCCCCCAAGGACAACTGCTATATTTGATGACAAATATGTCACCTGAGGATCACAAGGCCAGACCCAATGTGACTACTCATGTCCCACATGTTAGAAAGGTCTTCCTCCAGTTGAGATTAAATTTAATCTTTTTGAGAAATAGAAAGCTGCTCTACTCCAGCTTCTTCAATATAGAGGATGTGAAGCAAAGCAAAGCATAGTGTACAGAGTCATGGAAACGGGCACCTCAGGATTCTCATGAGGACACACATCATGGAACAGTTTTATGATCAACGTCATGGTGCTATCAAACTCTTGACAACTTACATAACTTCATTGCTGCCCTGTTTCTGGCCTGGCCACATTTCCTTCTGTAAAGCCCAATTCTGCTTTCTATGTAAACACAACCTGCAGTCATTCTTACATCAGTTCCAATTCATTCTTATTTACTCTTTATAGTAATTTTAGATATTTTTTACTCTGCAGGATTTTCAAACTTTAGAAATACCGTTAAGAGAATTCCATATAGGAATTCTTTCCTAATTGATGTAATCAATCTTGTTGAACTAATCTTGTTGAGCAAACAGCTTTTAAAGATTTTTAACACATCATTAATGAGGGAGACAGGTCTATATTATAATAGTTGAAAGATTCATCTATACATGTGAAATATTGAAGTGTATTTGCAAATGAATGCCAAAATTTCTTCCTAGTGGGGGAGGGAAGACCACTGAAACTGCCTGGACAAACTTTATTTCCTGTCTCTCCATGAGAGTTATTTGGAATGTCTAGGAGGAGTCACAGACTTTTCACATTTTGCCACATGTACTTTATCTTGCCTCTTTCCCTAATTCAACCTTTCTGAACAGTTTGAGAAGAGTATTTGTGTCTCACACCCCTGGACACTTAATGCCATTACTCTGCTATGAATTGTCCAGGATAGCACATTCTCTCTCATGACCCTGAAAAATTCCTACATTCAGGAAACTAACATTGACACAATACTTTCCTCTAGTCTATAGCCCAATTTGTTAGTTGTCCTGTTGTCATCCTCCATGCTTGATTTAAGTCCAGGCTCCCACAGTTCATACACTTATCACATCTCTTTAGTCTCCTTTATAGTTTTAGAAAATTTTGAAGTTTGCCTACTTCTGAAACTTAGAGACAAAGACTGTGGCATTTCTGTGTATGTGTGTGTGTGTGTGTGTGTGTGAGTGTGTGTGTGTGTGTGTGCACGCACACATAAGCACTGCTTCATTGGTGATTATGTCTTCAGCTATTATGTCAAAAGCCAACATTTGCAAAGCACATTTTATCTCAAAAGTAACATTGCAAAAAAATAGAAAGCAGAAATCAAATCCCAAATATGTAGCACCAGGCCTACAATATAGAAATAGCTGTCGATGTGTCTTCCATGCTTACCAAATTGAGTCAGTCTAAGAACTTGGGAGGCAGGAGGTGACTAGAACTTGACAGCCTTCGAAGGAGGGGTCGTATCCATGGGCTCTTCACTGGCAGCCTGGGAGGTTGGTGGTGCAGAGGCCCTCTGTGCCAGGGTGGAGGATGGTGAGTGGACCTTCACTGGCAGCATGGTAACCACGGGGGCATTGGGAAGAGAGGCTCTTTTCCTTTTTCTGGCTTTTCCAGGGTTCCCAAGTGCAGGCTGAGGGGTGGGTGGTGGGACAATGGGATGGGACAGATTGGGGTTGGGTTGGGAGAACTGAAGGGTTGGGGGGCCGGGGAAGACTGGTCCCTTTGCTGGCTTCCTGTGCTGCCTATGGCGATGGACACTGCGGTGTGGGCCAGAGCTGTCACTGGACGCAGAAGATGGGAAAATGACGGCCATGGAAGGGGGGGTAGTGTCCATGGCCGTGTCCTCAGGCAGCACAGCAGGATGCTTGGAATGGTGAGCCAATGGCATGGCTATGAGGGTTGGAGGGACGGAGTGCTGGCCCTGGGTATTGGGGTTGCGGGTGGAAGGGACAGGAGTGGGTCGTGGGAAAGAATGAGGAGGAGGAGGAAGAGGAGCAGCAGGAGGAGCAGCCAAAGGAGAGGGAACATTAGGAGGAGGAAGAGGAGGAGGAGCAGGAAAAGGAGTTGGAGGAGGAGGGATAGGAGGAGGAGGAAGAGGAAATGGAGAAGGGGGAGGAGGAAAAGGAGGAGGAAGAGGAGGAGGGGGAGGAGGAGGAAAAGAAGGAAGGGGAGGAGGAGGGGGAGGAGGAGGAAAAAGTGAAGGAAGAGGAGGAGGAAAAGAAGAAGGAAGGGGAGGAGGTGGTGGAGGAGGAGGAGGATCAATACACATGGGGGTTGGGGATTCTGTTCTGGAAGAGGTAGGATTGGAGGGGAAAGGGACCTGGGTATGAGGTGTGGGGAGGTGGGAACTGGGAGGTATCACAGGTCTTGACAGTTGTGTTGTTGGGTGAAACACATTAGGGGTAACTCCGACATGGGGACTGGGGCTGAATGGAGAAGGAGGTTTCCTGGGAAGAGGCAGAGGAATATTAGATGAGGGGGAAGGTGGAGGGATGGATTGGTTCAGGGGCCCAGCAGGTTGGAATTCCACCTGCCTGCTGGCAAGGTTGGTTGGGATGGGGGAGGGGTCAGTGGGTGGGGGGAGGGGGCCTGCATTCCAGGTAGGGCCTGCAGGTGGGGAGGATGAATGGACAGTGGTGGTGCAGTCCTCCGGAGCCTCTCTTCCGCCCTGGGCGACCTCTGCCTCAGGCTCCACGTGGTTACTTCTGGCACTCTGAACCCTCCTCAGGGTGCCATTTGTACATAAACGTGGCCGCTTTGCAGGTGGGGGCAGCCCATCCTGATGCCAGGAAATCAGTGATGGCAGGGCCACTGGCATGAGCTGTTTCCTTTTATGCGGCCTCTTGGAAGCAGCAGTTAGTGAGGGCCAACTCTGGGCTAGAACACAGGTCGGCTTTAGGCCCTGCTCTCCCTGGATGGCATCTTGGGAGGCTGGAGAGACAGGCAGATCTACAGGCTCCTGGGTCCACTTGTGGAGCATTGAGGGGCCCTCAGCTTTAAGGAGGGCGAGCACTCCTTGAGCAGGGCAGTGGGAGCTGCAGGTTGTGGGGCTCCCAGATGATAAGTTCTTGGGAGACACCTGGGCCCTCTCTGGAAGGATGTTTCCCTCTGGGGGCCAAGAACTGGGCTCCAGGGCACTGAGGTCTCCCCGAGTGTCCTCCTCCTCCTCCTTCTCCACCTTCTCCTCCTCCTCCTCCTCCAGCTCCTCCTCCTCCTCGTCCTTCTTCTCCTCTTCCTCCTCGTCCTTCTCCTCCTCCAGCTTCTCTTCTTTCTTCTCCTTCAGCTTCTCCTCCTCCTCCTCCTCCTCCTCCTCCTCCTCCTCGTCCTTCTTCTCCTCTTCCTCCTCGTCCTTCTCCTCCTCCAGCTTCTCTTCTTTCTTCTCCTTCAGCTTCTCCTCCTCCCCCTCCTCCTCCTTCTCCTCCTCCTCCTCGTCCTGATGGATCTTGCCTTCGTCTTGCTGTTCCTGGGCCCTGAGCTCAGCTTCCTTAGAGGCACCAATAGGGCAGCAAGAAGGTGTCATGGGCCCCTCAGCGTGGTGGATGAGCTGAGGAACTGAAGGCAGGAGGAGAGGCCTGCGCGCAGGAGGGGGGATCCTTACTGCTCTCGAGGGTCCGAACATCTGAGAGTTCTTCCGGGATAGCACTGGCTTTTTGGGGAGCGGCCCCCAGGACACGGGCAGCAGGGTCCCCCGAGAGAGGAGCGGGCCTCTGTCCCTGCCAGCAGCAGGAGGCCCCCGAGGTCTGTGATCCTGGGGGAAACGCCTGCTGGCAGGGCTGAGGGGAGAGGCAGGTGCAGCGGGGTGGTCCCTGTGAGGAGAGGGAGCCTCCCGGGTGAGGCGGAGGGGAGTGCGATGGCCCAAGAGGGCCCTGCGGCGCAGCCTGCGAACGCACTTGGTCAAAAGACTGCCCATGGAGGGCACCTGGGGCTCGTCACTAGGCAGAAGTCCACACTAGTCCAACGCTAGTCAGCACAGAGCAGCTTGGCTGAGAAGCCAGCTCCTCCTTCAACCACAGGCTGAACTCCAGTTTAGCCTTTGTGACATGTGGCTGGAGCCTGTGACAGAGAAAGGACTTGGGCCAAGATGATTGGTCAAAGGAAGGTTCCAGGGTGAAGAGACCCCTCCCCCCACTTGGTCTGAGCTTAGGTGCCTCCTGACTCTCCCCTGCTTCTTCTCCCACACCCACCGCACAGTTATTCTCACCCTCCAGAGGGTCATTCTGAGGCTGCTTTCCTTTGGGTTACTTAGGCAGTCATTCTACTTGGCTCCGAAAATAAATATCTCCACGATTCTACTGGACGTGACTGTAGCCATCCAGAGTCAAACCACCATCCGTTGCCCTCAGATAACTACAGCTATA